GGCTGCTGATGTCATGCAGAGGATGTCATTTTGTGTTTATGTGTTTTCATAATGACAATGATAAGTTAGATTTCGGACGACAATAGAATGTTCATTATGTCGCTACGACAATTGTCTACAGACATGTCGTTAGACGGACTGTAAACCAGCCTTAGGTTCTCATAATAACTTTGCTTTACAGAGAGAGTAGGCTACTGAGACAGACAGTGATGTGGCGCTCAGTGGTGAGGCTGAGGCAGGCTGCAATGCATGCAGGAGGAAACTTAGGAGACAGAAAGAGAGAGGAAGCAAGCAGAGTGAGAGGTTAGTACAGTGCTTCCCAAACTTGGGGTCTGGGCTCCATGTGGGGTCCCCTGAGAAAATCTTCCGGACCTCACTAAAACACAAACCCTGGTTACGGCCCTGGGAGCACCCGTACAGAGTCGATGTGCAGGGGTACGAGGTAATTGAGGTAGTATAAATATAAGCGCAACATGCAACAATTTTACAGTTACAGTTCATATAAGGAAATCAGTCAATTTAAATTAATTAATTAGGCCCTAATCTATGGATTTCACATGACTGGGAATACAGATATGCATCTGTTGGTCACAGATACCTTTAAAAAAAGGTAGGGGTGTGGATCAGAAAAGCAGTCAGTATCTGGTGTAACCACCATTTGCCTCATGCAGCGCGACATATATCCTTCGCGTAGAGTTGATCAGGCTGTTGATTGTGGCCTGTGGAATGTTGTCCCACTCCTCTTCAATGGCTGTGCGAAGTTGCTGGATGTTGGCGGGAACTGGTACACGCTGTCGTACACGTTGATCCAGAGCATCCCAAACATGCTCAATTGGTGACATGTCTGGTGAGTACGCAGGCCATGGAAGAACTGGGACCTTTTCAGCTTCTAGGAATTGTGTTCAGATCCTAACAAAATGGGGCCGTGCAATATCATGCTGAAACATGAGGCGATGGCGGCGGATGAATGGCAAGACAATGGGCCTCAGGATCTCGTCACGGTATCTTTGTGTATTCAAATTGCCATCGATAAAATGCAATTGTGTTCGTTGTCCGTAGCGTATGCCTTCCCATACTATAACCCCACCGCCACCATGGGGCACTCTTCACAACGTTGACTTCAGCAAGCCGCTCGCCCACACGAGGCCGTACACTCTGTCTGCCATCTGCCCGGTACAGTTGAAATCATTATACATCCGTGAAGAGCACACATCTCCAGCGTGCCAGTGGCCATCGAAGTCGGTTATGATTCCGAACTGCAGTCAGGTTAAGACCCTGGTGAAGACGACGAGCATGCAGATGAGCTTCCCTGAGACTGTTTCTGACAGTTTGTGCAGAAATTCTTCAGTTGTGCAAACCCAGTTTCATTAGCTGTTTGGATGGCTGGTCTCAGACGAACGCGTGTGGAGGTCCTGGTCTGGTGTGGTTACACTTGGTCTGCGGTTGTGAGGCCGGTTGGACGTACTGCCAAATTCTCTAAAATGACGTTGGAAGCGGCTTATGGTAGAGAAATGAACATTAAATTATCTGGCAACAACTCTGGTGGACATTCCTTCGGTCAGCATGCCAAATGCATGCTCCCTCAAAACTTGAGACATCTGTGGCATTGTGTTGTGTGACAAAACTGCACATTCTTGAGTGGCCTTTTATTGTCCCCAGCACAAGGTGCACCTGTGTACTGATTATGCTGTTTAATCAGCTTCTTGACATGCCACACCTGGCAGGTGGATGGATTATCTTGGCAAAAGATAAATACTCACTAACAGGGTGTAAACACATTTCTGCACAAAATCTGACAGAAATAAGCTTTTTGTGCATATGGAAAATTTCTGGGATCTTTTATTTCAGCTCATGAAACATGGGACCAACACCTTACATGTTTTGTTTATATTTTTGTTCAGTATACATATACAGTAGATAGGGGTAAAGTGACTAGGTAACAGGATATATAATAGACAGTAGTAGCAGCAGTGTATGTGGTAAGAGTGAAAGTGTGTGTGGCGTCAGTATGCATGTGTGTGCATGTTATGTGTGTGTGTGTGTGTATGTGTGTGTTTCGGGGTGTCAGTGTGTGGGTAGAGTCCATTTTGTGTGCATAGAATCAGTGCAAGAGAGTTAGTGCAAAAAGGGTCAATACAGGTAGTCCAAGTAGCCATTTGATTAGTTATTTAGCAGTCTTGTTTAGCAGTCATGGCTTGGGGGTAAATGCTGTTCAGGGTCCTGTTGCTTCCAGACTTGGTGCACTTGTACCACTAGCCATGCGGTAGCAGAGATAGCAGTCTATGGCTTGGGTGACTGGAGTCTTTGAAACATTTTTGGCCCTTCCTCTGACACCACCTGCTATAGAGGTCCTGGATGGCAGGGAGCTCGGACCCAGTGATGTACTGGGCCGTACTTATCACCCTCTGTAGCGCTTTGCGGTCGGGTGCCTTGCAGTTGCTGTACCAAGTGGTGATGCAGCCAGTCAAGATGCTATCAATGGTGCAGCTGTATAACTTTTTGAGGATCTGAGGGCCCATGCCAAATCTTTTCAGCCTCCGGAGGGGGAAGAGGCACTGTCGTGCCCTCTTCACAACTGTGTGGTGTATGTGTGGACCATGTTAATTCCTTAGTGATGTGGACAACCGAGGAACATGAAGCTCTCGACCCACTCCACTACAGTCCTCTCAATGTGGATGGGGGCATGCATGCCCCTCCGTTTCCTGTAGTCCACGATCAGCTCCTTTGTCTTGCTGACGTTGAGGGAAAGGTTGTTGTCCTGGCACCACACTGCCAGGTCTCTGACCTCATCCCTATAGGCTGCCTCATCATCGTCAGTGATCAGTCCTACCACCGTCATGTCGTCAGAAAACTTGATGATGGTGTTGGAGTCGTGCGCAGTCATGGGTGAACAGGGAGTACAGGAGGGGACTAAGCACATACTCCTGAGGGGCCGTCGTGTTGATGGTCAGCGTTGCGGATGCGTTGTTGCCTACCCTCACAGCCTGGGGGAAGCCCATTAGGATCCAGTTGCAGAGGGAGGTGTTCAGTCCCAGGATCCTTAGTTTAGTGATGAGCTTTGAGGGGACTATGGTGTTGAACGCTGAGCTGTAGTCAATGAACAGCATTCTCACGTAGGTGTTCCTTTAGTCCAGGTGGGAAAGGGCAGTGTGGAGTGCAATAGAGATTGCATCATCTGTGGATCTGTTGGGGAGGTGTGCAAATTTGAGTGGGTCCAAAGTGTCTGGGATGATGGTGTTGATGTGAGCCATAACCAGCCTTTAAAAGCCTTTCATGGCTACAGATGTGAGTGCTACGGGGCGATAGTCATTTAGACGGGTTACCTTGGCGTTCTTGGGCACAGGGACTATGGTGGTCTGCTTGAAACATGTAGATATTAAAGACTGGGTCAGGGAGCGGTTGAAAATGTCAGTGAAGACACTGGCCAGCTGGTCGGCGCATGCTCTGAGTACGCATCCTCGTAATCCGTCTGGCTCTGCGTGCTTGTGAATGTTAACCTGTTTAAAGGTCTTACTTATATGGATAATTTAGCTGGTTTTTCTATGCATTAGACCGCTGCGCCACTCGGGAGGCCGACCTGAACGATTACTTATTGACTTTAATTGTTTTGCAACATCATGGATAAGCTTGTCTTTCAGCTGATATTTTTTATTTTCTTTAGCTTTTGTGGGCGTTTAAAACTGCTAAAATATCTCTCCATCCCATGGCAATTGGTAGAATTGCAGGAAATAAGCAGCAAAATTGCACATTTTTTATCTCTGCCCCATGGCAAAATTGTGTTACATTTGTTATAAAATTGCTAAATGTTTCTCTCTGCCTCATGGAAAAATGTGTACAATTGCAGGAAATGTACTTAAAACACATAAATGTTTCTCTCTGCTGTCAAGAGTGTAAGTCGCTCTGGATAAGAGCGTCTGCTAAATGACTAAAATGTGAATGTAAATGTAAGAGAGGGGCCACAAAAATGATTTGCTGCCTCCCCAACCAATTCTTGCTTAGGGCCCCAAAAGGCTAGAGCTGGCCCTGTTACCACTCTTCTTGGTTGCACCCCCTCTATCAATTGGATCCAACAATTATAGCAACCATTTCTGTCGAATACACATTAATAATTTGCTAGTCTCTTGCAATCATTTGTTAGTCTCTTGCATAGATTAACACTGAACTCAGGAATAAATACACCTGAACCATCTGTGTATACTGCAAGGCTTATTATTAATATATTGATCCACTATTGTTACTTCCTACATTATCTTCTTCACACCCCTGTTTATTTTTTTTCGATCAGGCCCCACGGACGTTCGATTCTTCTCCGCAAATTTGTAACGAACGACAGAGCAGCGGAATAATTTAGTTTGAGTTTGTCTGGCTAGTCTAGACCAATGCCGTATATAAACACTGTATTGCCGACAGTATGTATTCGCCATTGCGAATCTTTGAAATCATCGGTCGGCCATATTGGCACTCCCACCTAGCAGCAGTCCTTCATAGGAATGAATGGAATTCTACAGTATTTCAATTAAATGTTTCAAGGACAAAATTAAATGTATTTAAGTATTTTTTGTTGTTGTAGTGGGGACAGTAACATTAGTACTCTCTAAAGAATATTACTTTAAGGAAAATGTGTTAATATATTTTTTCATTTTTTATTTGTATGTTTAGCTCACATAATATAATTTAAAAGTATGCATTAAAGTGTCTGTAATAGAATAAACGTGTAAAAACGAATGTAGACATTAATAATTGCATTTCTATAGCTTCCAAAACCTTTTTACACTTGAGGAGGAGTACCAAGATGGCTGCGCTGTGGCTTCAATACAGTGCCCCCTGGAAGTTATTCAGAGTTTATAGACATGATTGGTCTAGACCCAGACAGGGCTAGCGTTTAGAATTAGCTATCTCAGCTGTGATTAGCTCGTTGCAGTCCAAAGGGCACGCCTATTTTTGACTTGAAACAGCGGCGCCGGTTGGTTGCTAGAATGTTTATATTTGAGCTGAGCCACTGGTAATCTAGCTAGCACGCAAATAAAACTAGGTAACGTTTTTACCGGCTATATTAACGTTTCAATTACATTGCTATAGCAAATTCGTCTACTTTAAATAAGAAAGAAGACATAACGCCCGGTAAGTAATGTTAGCAAGTTAACGTAAGCTAGCTATGCTAACTAACGTTAACTTCTTAATTGTGGCTATCTAGTTAGCTAGCTTACGTAAACTAGGCAAGTTGTAGTCAACAATTATGATAACATATGAAATGGCAATAAGTATCATTGCTGTAACTAACTAGGTTACGTTAGTTCAGCCAGCAAGCCATAGTTATTTTTAGTAGCTAAACTGTGCAGTTGTGATTTGCATATTAATTTTGATAGTTTGGAGGCGCATGCACCTTCTACTAGTAGATTGATTGTCGACCAAAGGCTAGTAATGTGATCAACTCTCCTTTTTATGCTTCCAGGATCAGGATGAACGCGTCAGCTGAGGGAAGGACCCTCCTCTCAACTATGTTACCAGGGAAAAAACCTATGCCCTCGAAGGCTGCTAAACATAACTCACTAACAGTGGCATCGAAGATAAAGACCAAGATTCTCAGTAAGTAGCATACAGCTGTCATCACTAAATTGATGTAAAAGGTGGATTCCCTTTTAATTTGTAATAGCCTGTTGTTGGTTAATGACAGGTCACTTGGTAAGTCATACTGCATTATCATATGTTTATTTAGATTTTCTGCTTGATGTATTTTCTAGACACATCCTCGTTCTTCAAGGTCTCCCTGAAGACTAACAACAAGGCTCTGGCACTGGCCTTGGTGGCTCAGAGGGAGAGAAGCAGACAACTTGAAGTGGAAACTGTGTGCCTACGGAAACAAGTGGAGTCTCTGAATTTTGACCTGGCTATTCGCAGATTCAAGCACAACCAACTGGTGGGTTAGAGAGGGATAAGACATAGTGTGATCTAAATTTGGCACCTAACCGGGTCATATTTAGAGATGCTATTTGTAACAATAATGATCCATTTTCTCACAGACTTCAGTGTTAGTTTATGACATAAAAGCATGGGAGTTGTTGACAGGTGATAATGCAAATAATAATTTATTCAACTTCTATAGTGCTATTCATTACATAAATGAATCTCTAAGCGCTTTAAAGCAAAAACAAAAAACAAGCAATTTAAAAACAACATCCTTTTACAGATTCTCATCTTGAAAGACCTTCAACGCAACACTTTGGATAACTTGGAAAGGGCTGTGGGCCTCTTCTCTGATGAAAATGTAAGTCCCCTTCCAGTATGTCCTCTGATTCTATGGTATCAGATAAGTATAAGTAGCCTATGTCACGGTTTACAATGCTAAACAGGGCTCTATGCTGTGCCAGTATAAAAAAAATAAAAAGGGATTCACTAACTGTAAGTCGCTCTGGATAAGAGCGTCTGCTAAATGACGTAAAATGTAAATGTAAAAGTAGAAGAAAAGTCAAGTATGAGCACATGCGAGTTGTGATTTATAGCTAAAGAAATTGCTGCCGTAGCTATTTTCAAATGTATTTCTGCCGTTTTTGTTTGATAACTGGTAGCTAATCACACAAATAACTATGTAGAGTCCTATCTCACCTCGTGCGACAGCAACAGTTTCTGCTCATACAGTAATATCTGGGAAGCAGCAACAGTGCCTGGGACTCTGTGCGCATTGTGAGTGTAGTGCTGAAATATTATTTTTTTGAAGCACACAGGCATAAAGTTGGTTGAATTTACCCAAAAGTCTACTAAAGTGTGACTTTGTTCTCGTGTTTCTTGGCTATTTACATCGTTTTGTTCAGACGCTAGCTTGTTTTTCAATGTTAGTTTGAGCTTTCTCAACTGTTAGTGAAGGGACATTGGAGAATCTCATTTTGAGTGGGAGTCCCACCATTATCAGGTAATGGCTCACGCCCCTTAAAGGGGCAGCTGATGGTGAGTCAAATATGTGAGGGTACATTGTACTTGATTGAACATGGAACCTTTTATTCATGCACTTTTAGTTATTTCTTATGATAAAAACACATTTCTTATTCCTCAAATACCTTCATTGTGCTCCTAATTTTCTTTGTGTGCTTCAACATTTTTCAACTTAGGAGCACGTGCTCCTAGTGTCATCGTAGAGCCCTGCTAAATTGTTTTTCTTTCTGAAGAAGGATGCCCCTGAAGTACCTGAAGACCGTAATAAGCGACCCCCCGATAAAGAAGATGAAAATAATCAGATTGAGAGGTAATAATGAGACTCCTATTAATATTTACAGTTACAGCAATACTGTCTTATGGTCAATTATTTCTGTTCACACATTTCCCCCCCTTATTTATTTTCATTCTAGGGTAGCGGTTCAGATACCTCTTGTCATAGCAGAGCAGTCCAGGGATTTGGTGTGTCCCTCAAAACAGACCAGCACGAGCCAGGAGGTTGTAGTAAATGACAGAAGAACCACATCCACAAATCCCTCTGGGACCCAAAGTAGATCATCAGAGTCCAGTGCCAGTAAAGGTAAGGGGGCTGGAACATGGAGAATTCAGAACTACCCCACATTTTGGTATGCATGACCTTTTCAGCATTAGGTTGGTTATTGATTAGGTCAGTAACTCACATGTATTCTTATCTTACAGACAGCATGAATAAGATGGAGCTACAGGTGGACAATACATTGAAATCGACCCAAAAGAGAACATCCCGACAATCCAGCAGCCTAAAAAATGAGGTGGAAAAGTGGTCAAAGATTTATTCTGACACTGGACTCGACCCTATCCCAGCAGTCTTGCCCGCTGTTGTCTCCATAACTAATACTATACAGCCCTCTGGTACTGATAAAGTTGTGCTTAATCCAAACAGCTTAAAGATGGAGACCACATTGGCGCTTGCAATGACGACAACTGTCGGAGAAGGAGAGAAGACCACCATCAATGACACAGAGATGGAGATAACTATTGGGGACAGCGCTGCTGAAATCGTTACAGTGGAGACCAAGCCCAAGAAAGCTGGTGGACTGAAGAAACTGAAGGTGCCAAAGACAAAGATCCCTTGTCTATTAGTGAAGGTTGGAAATAAGAACAGTGGCCCAACACGTGTTGTTGAAAATCTAGAGGTGAAGAGCTCTGCTTTAAACGTGGAGCTGCCGACAGAGATACAAAAGGCATTTTCTGCAACGCCACTACAAACAGACAACCCTACAGCGGAGGGTGTGGATGTAGAACATAGAGAAGAGGACTTCATAGAGAACTCAGCCAGAGAGATAGAATCCCTTGCTGCCCGCAGGAAGACTCATGTCACCTCTCGCATCACCAAACACAGAAAACCTACCAGAGAATCCCATAAAACAACACAAGATGTTCCAAAACAGTTTGACCCAAGAACAACTTTTGTAGTCCCTCTCCAATCCAAATCCCATCGAAATGTCTCACCTGACCCATTTGAAGATGACTTTTTTGATGACCCTGAAGCTCAGAACTCTGTATTTAAACTAGACGGGGCAAACCCATTGGTCATAGATGCCACAGAGGACAAAGGGTCTAAAACTAAAGGTCGCAAGACTTTTGTGATTTCTAATTTTGTGATTTCTAATGAACCTACATCTAGAAAGAGCCAGAAGAAATCCAAAGCAAGCAGGAAGACTAAAGCACAGCCTGTCATGGTGGACCATGAATTAGACATTGAAGCAGAAAATGATATATTCCTTCTGCCTCAATCTCTCATTGAAGAGGAATGTCATTCTTCTGAATGGTGCCCAGCCTATGTAGACATGGATGCCACCCTGCATGAATACAGGGAATCACACAGCTCTTCCAGTGCTTCCGGACCTCGGTCCACTGCACGGAGCAGTAAGAGACCTACCAGAGTGAAAGGCAGAGGGACGTTTGTGGTCTCGGTGAACAGGGACAGCTCCTCAGGGAACAGTACAATATTAGACGATGCTTGGGCAGAAAAGCTGGTGTGCACTCCTACTACAGTGTATGACTTTGTTGCCGAAGAAGAGTCAGAAACGGTCAGGGATGAAAGCATAGAGGAGCACCTGACTGGACCACACCCAGATCACTGTCTAGCTGCTAGGCGCAAGACTACAGACTCTGTGGTTGAAGAGACTCATGCCTCCTCTAAACGTCCATGGCTGGCTACCCAGGAACCTGCAGGGAATTCAGAGGGCCTAGAAAGCTTATGTGTTGAGGAAGAAATGCCCCCATGGGAGATCAGTGACCCCATTTCAGTTGCTGTGGAGCAAAAGCCCAAGAAAGCCAGGAGAGTGGAGACTGCAAAATCAAGGATGAAGAAGGATGCACAGAAGGGTGACTGTCTTGCCCCTGTGAAGGAAAGGAAAAAAAAAAAAAGTAGCAGCAGTAAAGGAGTAGCGCCTGGGGGTGCAGGTTATCTTTTGTCTAGTGAGACTCTGGATAGCCAGAGTAGTATAGGTATAAGCACTGCAGCACAAAATGCAGAAGTACAGCCTGTGGCGGATCCCGAAGTGTTGCAAGTCATCACACGCTCTGCCACTGAGGAGAGCTGTGAAACTCATGAACTTTTGTCTTCACTTGAGGTCCTGAGTCCAGACTTCAAAGTCAGCAGCTTCAAGCCCCGGTCCAACCAGGGCCCTAAACCGAGATGTAGAGGCACTTTTGTCATACCCAATAGTTTTAGTGATTCCACCAGAAACAGGAAGACCTACGTTGTTCCTGACTCCTTGTCTGAGGATGATGACACAAACAGCAGGACATCTAATGTATTATTATCAACTGTTGAGACCCACACAGAAATTCCTGACAGTGGTGAGGCAGTATGTCAGAGCCTGAGGGAGCTGCTCATGGACGAAAGGCTTCCATGGGAGTCCTTCATGGATGTCAGCTGTTCAATTGAGACTGGATTTGACACTCCAGCCTCAAGCCCTAAAAGGGTTGCTTATTCTGCTCACAAGGTTGCTGTATATAAAGAGCCGGTTGAGGTTATGGCTGAAAGATCTCCAGGAACAGGTACAAAGCTTTTTATTGTTGACAGTATTTTTATTTTTATTTGTGTGAGATGTAGATATTCTAATTGTTATTTTATGTATTACCCACAGTAGCAGAGAGAGCCCTGAAGTCACTAACCAATACCAACTGGACGGATAATGAAGACACAGGACGGACCAGACGACGGGGGGCTGCTGTGAGCTACAAGTTGCCACCCATCAACTGGTGAGGACTGCCCTGGAAATGAAACTAAATCTTTATTATATCAGTAGCTTGCACAGTGATCAGGTAGGTTTTACTAGTGGTCAGGTTCGTTCTACTAGGCTGTGATACCAGCACTTGATTATTCAATTGTTGTGTCTTTCTTTTAACAGCAAAATGAGACGTGGAGATAAGTTCTCAGACACCAAGTACCTGAGTTCTCCCATTTTTAAAGAGAAGAAGAAGAAAAAGCAACAACAGAAGAAAACACACAAACCTGACAGTTTGGAGAACCTACATTCAGTTAATTGACTTTATTCGGTGTAATTTCATTCTTACACATATTTCCAATGCCTTTATTGTTTTGCCCTTTGTTTTAATATTATACGTTTACAAATAAAATGTCAATACATTTTATGTTGAAAAGGTTTTTGTTAATTTAGCACCCACTTTATTAGTCATGAAGAAATAAATAATTTAATAAGCCTGTAAGAAATAGCACATTTTCTGTTTTGTGACAGTAACAGATATGTGATACAGCCATATATTATCTGGATGGTGCAGTCAGTCACCTAAGGATAAATTGAACACCCTTATGCAATAGCTAGTTGCCTCCAAGGGTATAATTAAAGTTGTTGCAACATGATTAGACGGAGAATGTTGCAACACAACTTTAATTATACCCTTGGGGGCAACTAGCAATTGCGTAAGGGTGTTCAACTCATCCTTAGGTGGCTGACTGCACCATCCAGCTAATCTATGGCTGTATCTCATCATGGTTAAGTGCCGACCAACGCACCTCCTTATGTTTCTAAAATAATCTGGACCCGTATTGTTGGAGTGATTGACTAGAGGCCCTGTGTGAATTATTCAGAGTAGGCTGTTCACCTAGGAGGCTGTGGTTGGCTTTCTGCTCCCCTCGGTCTCTACTGTATACAGCCTTCCCGCAGGCTGGTGTCACCTGAAACGGCTACCGTTTGCAGTGTGTTTTTGGGGGGGTTTATTTACATGAAACATATTCGTGATTGTGATACGCTGTCATTTAGAGTAGTACTGCAGTTTTTGGGTGTAACCATTGCTGATAATTCTGCATTGTGTGGTAAGTACAGATTGCTTTACACCATGAATGTGTCTTTCTTTATTCAAAATACGACCAACTGTAATGTTATATGGATTTAGATAGAATGCATTGCTGAGAATGCCAGTTTGATCATGTAACTCAGATTTGAATAAGCACATATTTTACCAGGCAGATGCTACATAAAATATTATGTAAATCAACAATGACATATTTAGGTCAACATCTCATTTTGGAGACTAGTGGGAAAAGGTTGTGAGGCCAAATCATTGGCAGAAAATGTCTCTGCCTACTTCTAATCACCTTGCTTTTGCCTTGCTGTAGCACTTCAGGCTGCGTAAAAATCTTCAGTGATTAGGTTGCTTTAGTTAAAAACATATTTGTGTTCTGCTGGATGTGAGTTGAATGGCTTGTATCACATTTCCTGGACCCTGTGTAGGGCCAGAGAGGTGCCAGGTTCAAGACTACCCTGTCTTACTGTAGTAGATCAACCCCAGTGGAAGTTAGTGCAGGTCTGTTTGCATAACCACTGCTATCATACTATATCATCACCTGACGATTTCTTTCCATCTCCATCCTTTATCTACCATGTAACTTCCCTTCCTCCTATTTCTTACCCTGGTCCCAGATCTGTTTGTGCTGCCGTGCAAACTCCTATGGTCATTGTCAAGTACTTTGACATCATATTTGCAAACTTCGTTTTGTGTAGGCTACAGGACCACCAAGGACTTAACCCTCTGCATGAGTAACGCTACCTCAGAGAAATGGAGACAAGGCGACTGAGAAGAGACATAGAAGCCCTTCTGTGAGTTGCTTTCTGTGGATGAAAAATTATAAATTTAGAGCAATGATGTGGTGTGGGAAGAGGAAATCGAGATGAAATGGCATTTATTATATTTCTTCAGGCACTTGAGAGAGTTTTGTGTTTTGAACAGGGGAGATTATATTGGTCAGAAACTGAGAGAGAATGGCTTCGACCCCAAGGGGAAAGGATCCACTAGCATGCTGGATGACCTGGTAGGAATCTCAACACAAATTGTTCTGGAGTGCACCATCCTCCACCAGGGGTTAATGTGGGATGTTGTATACAGTTAAACGGTCGACTGTGTTTATGATTATTTCAACATTTTTACGAACCCTTTACTTAATGTGTCTGTGCTTCCATCCAGGCCCATTATGACTTGGCCATAAGTGTTGCCCTTTGGTGGCTGGAGAAAGAGGAGCGACATGATGTGATGGACAGAGACATCGTGTAAGAACATTGATGAAACATTGACTTCCAAACACAATAACACTTGATTGTGTCATGTCCTGAGTAACCTTGTCTGAGAGCTGAAGACTTCTGCTCTTCCTTACCTAATACCTTGGTTTTAGCTCTAAGCTACCCTGGTAAATCCCTTTATGACAACTGATGATATAAAAAGGGTTTTATAAATAACATTTGATTGATTGACTTTGTTGTTCCCTGTAGTGGAGTGGGCAGCCCAGGGTATAATGACCAGTACCCCAACCACCTGGAGAGAGAAGCCATGATCCTCTCTTCCTTCGCTGGGATGATCCTGGTGAGTAGTCCGGGTACTGAGGCATACAGTATGCCAGGGGTTGTGAGTCTAGCACGGCTCAGTCTGTAGTCTTACTGACCCTTAGTCGTCCTTGTAATCTAGAGGCGTTTGGTGGAGTTGGGAGTCTAGTACCACAGCTCAGTCCAAAGTGTCAATGACCCTTAGGCTAACCTCCCTTGTTACTACACAATGAATCACCAGTCTCCAAAGCCATGCTCCTCTGTTGCTAAACTTTGACTTAAGATACGTTATAAAGGTTTTGTATAATTTCAACCAGTAGTTTTGAAAGTAGTGCTCACGAGCCAAAACAGGTCTCTGAAAATTGTGCACAATTGTGTACTACGTAATCTATTTCGTATGATACAGTATGTTACGCTTACAATTCGTACAATATGTTAAAAATTTGTTGTGCTTAAGATCCCGTTCCCGTTCAGTCTCTAAGTCAGGTGCAACAGTATATTTCAAACTGGGCAGCATTACCTAGTCCATGATCTTTCACTGGGTTGACCATGTAACTGGTCCTTTTATGATTATTGTGGTTTAAGTGTTACTAACTATATATTCCCCTCTGCTCTAACCTCTGTTCTGCTGTCCTCTCTGCTCCAGAATAGCTTGCCTGTAAAAGACATTCTAGCCCTCTACACCAACAAACCGTCTGCCGCTTACCCTCACCAGCACTACAAGGTAGACTGAGTTTAGAATACTGCACATTTCTCTCTCCCCAGTGTTAGTATAGCCTAATCCTACAGCCTAGCCTTGTCTGTGTGGGAAGGCAGTATAAGGGGATATAATATATAACATACACTGAGTGTACAAAACATTAAAAACACCTTCCGAATATTTAGTTGCCCCCCCCCCCCCCTTTTGTCCTCAAAACAGACTCAATTAATCGCAGCATGGACTCTACAAGGAGTCGAAAGCATTCCACAGGGATGCTGGCCCATGTAGACTCCAATGCTTCCCACTGTTGAGCATGAAAAACCCAGCAGTGTTGCAATTCTTGACACAAACCGGTGCGCCTGGCACCTACTACCATACCCTGTTCAAAGGCACTTAAATATTTTGTCTTGCATATTCACTCTCTGAATGGCACACACAAAACAATCTATGTCTCAATTTTTTCAAGGCCTAAAAATAATTATTTAACCTGTTTCCTCCCCTTCATCTACACTGATTGAAGTGGATTTAACAAGTGACATCAATAAGGGATTATAGCTTTCACCTGAATTCACTTGGTCAGTCTGTCATGGAAAGAGCAGGTGTTCTTAATGTTTTGTACACTCAGTGTATAGTAAGTAAGTAGGCCATCAGCCTCAGTGTAGTGCTAGCTGGTCTATAATGATCATGTGCAGTGGTATAATGCAGTGCTGCTCTGTATACATATTCTGTAGGCCTATATGTACCACTGCATTGTAAGACATTAATGAGAAGGTCTTAAAATAAAAATAGATCTGATGACTGTCTCTACAGAGCGCCATTGTTCATCCCTTCACCTTGTCCTACCACCCGTTTGCCATGCTGGGCTCATTCAAGGCCGTGGACCACTCCAGAAAGCACAGTATGTCAGTGTGTGTGTGTGTGTGTTCATCCTACACTACCATTCGTTAACACATCAACTATGCCAGTCTCCCTCTACCTCGCTCACATGTGACTTGCCCTTCCTCACTTGTGTTTACAGTAGTCTATAGAACAAGTTATGTAAGAACCCTGACCAGTATTGGCTCCTCTCTGATTATTTTCCTTCAGCCCAGAAATTGAAGCGGTGGCTGTCTGTGCAGGGTAAAGGAGGTGCTGCCCCTGCTGGACGGAGGGCCTTGGTGCAGTCCTCCTCATCCACATCTAACTCCTTCCTCAGTGTGAGTGGCAATCATAGACATACACTCCCCTATGTATTTGGACAGTGAAGCTACGTTTTTTTATTTGGTTCTATACTCCAGCATTTTGGATTTGAGATCAAATGATTTACATGAGGCGACAGTAAAGAATGTCACCTTTTATTTGAGGGTGTTTTCATACATATCTGTTTTACTGTTTAGAAATGAATGCACTTTATGTATTTAGTCCCCACATTTGAAGGTGTCATAAGTATTTGGACAAATTCACTTATAGTGTATTACATTTAGTCAAAAGTTTAGTATTTGGTCCCATATTCCTAGCATGGTCGTTCCACGAAGAGTGCCTTTGATATTTTAAGTAGAAATTGTGCACCACTATTGAATTTTAAAAGCCTGTTATATTAAATGAAGTTCCCTTTAATATAGACCACATTGGAAAATCCAATAAATCATGTTAACCTCTCACCATTACCAATAACAGGGGAGTTTTTTCTTGGGGATATGATATTTATGCATCTGTAACTTTCTCACTCATCATTATTCATGATTAATTCATGATTATCCATAATCATGGTAGCATCCACATTAATGTAGAAGTGTTCAGAAACATATTATATTGTTATTTATAATAAAAGTGACTCCAAAATGACACAATACATTATAACATTCATTTCTATTGAGCACAACAACCAAAACAAACTGCAAATGCATCCAACAAGTTTGTAGAGTCACAAGCTTGATGTAGTCATTGCGTGCTAGGAATATGGGACCAAACACTAAACCTTTGACTAAATGTAATACACTATAAGCGAATTTGTCCAAATACTTATGACACCTTCAAATGCGGGGACTAGATTCATAAAGTCCTTTCATTTCTAAACTGTAAAACAGTATGAAAATACTGTCGCCTCATATGAAACATTTGATCTCAAATCCAAAATGGTGGAGTATAGAGCCAAATTAAAAGTTTTAGCTTCACTTTCCAAATAAATATGTTTGGGGAGTGTATATATTCACATATTGTTTATATAAATCATTAGTGACAATAGCATGTACCCATGCATGCCATTTCAGCCCACAAAGGTTAAGTTTAACTCTCTGACTCTGAGAATACTTTACATTTAAAGCGGTTGTGAATTTGATCATTTCAACAAACATCCCAACCTTGTTATAAAGTTGAAGAATACTGTTGGAAGGGACTCTACTGCCATCTTGTGTTTTTAACTGGAAGTTCTCTTTACTGTCCATGTTTTCTGTCCCCTACACAGGACAGTGGTGAGTCCTTGAAGGAACAAACAGAGCATTATGAAGGATCACAAGAATCTCTGCAGGATTAAGGAAAGTCCTCTCATCCTCTGCCTTACTTCACCGTTATTACATGGTTATTACAGGGTTATTCCTGGGTTAAAAATGTTATTACACTGTGGGTGAAAATTCTGATGTCCCTGTTATAAGCTGGTACTACTGGGCCTTCACATTCAAGGAACCCTGGCCAATAGTAGTATCAATCCTCCAGTGTGTAATCATATCACTAGGGGTTTCCTCTATATTTGGTTGTAGGTCAGGCCATGTCCATCTATAAGCAATACAAATGTTTGACTACATCATAGACATTACTGTACATACTTTACTGTACAATAAACCATTCACTGTCTGTAACAAATACATATGTATATCAGTTATGTGGAAATCAGGCATGTATTGTTTAATCGCGCCTAAAAGGAACGTAATTCCCTTTTTATGCACATTTTTCTCTATTCTGACCTTGAGAATAGCATGCTTTTCACCCGCTATTCGTTTGGGGTGGAGATCAAAGAAAGGAAGGTGTGGCGGAGGTGTGTCAACGGATACGCTGCATTCTGACATTGACTTAATTCCATCATAATTCCACTACCTGTACACGTGAGCAACCTGTCGGTTCCAAGTGGAACAACATCTACATTTCCCGATAGAAATAACATAATTCTCCATGCACTGTAATTTACAAATTGGTAAGAGCTATTGATAAAAACTAGGTAAATTAGTAAACAGTTTGGATAAGGGGATTGCAAATGTAAATAACAATTGTTTTAGATCTACTATATTTTACTTTGTGATCGCTGGAGACAAATGTGAAACCAGTCATATGGCAGCAAACTGAAGCATTTCAACATATCACCTTTTCCACAGTGAAAAGGTGGCCTAATAATTGCAGGGATGACATTTGGAGACCCAATCAAATGACAGTATAGTGCCAAACCTACCGAGTTGATTTATGATTTCTAGAATGTTTTAATTATATGCCCGGACCTTACACAGTATTTCTTACAATTTATATTGTGTCAAATATTAGCCACTATCTGGTAGCCACCACCAATTATACCCACATACATTTATAACTGTCACTTTAGTGTTGTTTTCCTTATATTTTGCATCGTTCCATTGCATCATTCGTTTACCTTTCTTTCCTCTGTCATGTTTGTGTGGTTGTTCATGAGGATCGCTAGAAATAGTGGATCATATTAGGCTAATGTATTGCAAGTTGTGCAATAATTTGGGACATGTAACCTTATGGAACACAAATCATCAGTAGCAGTTTAAACCTGGTGCCTGGAGCACGGTTCACGACGACTGGACTGTTGTCATCACAGTTCCATGATTAGTGAGGATCATTAGGGTAGATTTATAGACTACTATATAGATTACTGTTCAACACCTATTGTACACTTTTCTCTCCTTTCAATATTTCATGGGTTGAAAATGTAATATGGCAACTTTCAGGATTAATCAAACCGCTGTATATATTTAGTGCGTGAAGGTTCTCCAAACCAGTTTTTAGTATTATTCATAAATACTTTCCTAACCCTAAGTACTATGCAAGATCAGAGTATTTACCAGTTGGTGCTGAAAAGGAGACAAATATGCATGTATTTACATGGCTTTCTTTAATTGATCCCTAATATTCTGATATTCTAGTGAGTCTGTCGAGAGAATTCTAATTAAAGGTACACCAAATTAAATTTAAAGGGATGACTTTAGATAAATGTACTGAAAAATCTGAAGGCCAGCAGGTGGGAGGGTTTTCAGCAGTTGAATACAATTCATGCCGCGTTCACGTCATGTCGGAAACTCAGACATTACTGACTTGCTAACCTAGGCGGAGAGTTGGATCTCGAATTTCCCACTTGGGAGGTACCAGAATCAACCAATGGGAAGCTCTACGCAAATAACTAACGTTCATTTTAACTCTGATGTCCCGAGTTTCTGACATGACGTGAACGAGGCATTATTAAGCACGCACAAGGGAACCATGCCTGCAAAGCCCTACGCACCTGCATAAGGTAAGTCTGAATACCAGTGCCTAGGAAAGGCGTACATTTTCCTAATTCTGAATATGGTAGTATGGGATGCTGGAACAGGAGCCGGGATGTGGACATTAAATAAGGGTTAGGATTTAAATTATGGCTAGGGTTAGGGTTGAGCGGAGGTGTGGTCATTATGCTAGTGTTAGGGTTGAGTTTATGGCATTGGCTAGGATTAAGGTTGAAATGGGGTGAGGACTAGGTTAGGATTGAGCCGGGGTCTGGACATGGAAGTTAGGGTTAGGGTTGAGCCGGAGGGTTAGGTTGAGAGCCCCTCCCCCCAAATAGGGCACCCCAGTTTAACCCCTGACTACATGTACCCATCTCTCACCCTCTCTGTCACCAGATGGTTAGACAGACACCTGGTTGCTTTGCCTTTGTGATGACTTCGAACATTCTGTGTGGTAAACATTAATCACGTTTTGGTGGATCAGTGGATAAACATGTACAGTCGCTCTGATTGGACATATAAAAAAAAAAAGTGAGGGTCAGATCTGGTCAGTAATGTGCCTGCTAGGACTTTTAGCACTGATGAATCAGGGCTTTTAACTCTACTGTAAGCCCAGGATCAAGACTTTTGGCAGCGCAGCCAGGTCACCAAATCCCTGGTCATTAAAATAACAAATAAAGTGGGATCAGCCTATCCGTCGATTGAGGTTTATATAGTGGTCCCTGGGCCTGGTGAGCCAGACCATCACTCCTGTAGAGGACGGGCTCCAGAGAGATTTATCAGGATGAGTAAGGTAAGACCTTGGGAGGAGGGGACACTTTCACTGTCTGTCTCTATTGCATTTTAAGATAGTGGGCCGGACCAGTGTAGACTTCCTCCCAGCCCTCTGCTAACCAATGCAACTTAACCCACAGCCTAAACATGCATCAATGCAGAACTACATTAGGTAAAAGTGAGGCGTCATGCCCATAGGGGGCACATGCCCCCTCAGATTTGTCCTGTTAAAAACAATTAGGCCTACACTTTGTTTGTTTTTTCTCTGTAATAGGCTACTACTAGCCGCATAGCAATTGTATGAAGTTGGCTTTAGCTAGCCCAGATAGGTTCCCAACCTCATAACTAGCTACCAAGAAGCCATTTCAGGCTATCAATCAAGTTAGAGTAGCTAGCTTGTCTAACTATCTTAATATAATATAATATGCCACTTAGCAGACGCTTTTATCCAAAGCGACTTACAGTCATGCGTGCATACATTTTTGTGTATGGGTGGTCCCGGGGATCGAACCCACTACCCTGGCGTTTCAAGCGCCGTGCTCTACCAGCTGAGCTACAGAGGACCACAGGAGCTGGCATGCCTGCTGGCAAGGTTGGTAGACTTTAGAAAAGCAACCAATAACTAAATGCACTGAATAAGACACACATTCCTTTCAATCTTTTACCCAGATTTTAGCAGAGAAGCATATTTAGTTTATTTAAACAAAATAATCACCAGTCAGGAGGATGCAGACAGCTCAAGAGGTATGCTTAGATATGCATAAAAATATATTATTATATATATATTTTTTACATATAATGAATCATAATGATTATGGCTCTAGATTGCAGGAAAAAGCTGTTTCAGGTGTTTGAAAAATGCAAAATTCTCCGGACTTACGGCATGGCGCCCCTGGGTCAAACTGTCTCTGAACAGGACAGTAAGGCCACACATTTATTGTCGTTACCTAGACTTTGATTACATGAGGAAACATTGGCTTTGTGTTGAAATTGGTGCAGTTGATTAGACAGAGGAAATTACACAAATCATATGCATGCATTTAACAACATATGGCAGTTGAGTCCATTGTGGTGTTCAGGACCATGATGTATATAAACCCTGGATTGCTGATTCTATGTATCGGCTGTTGAGAGGCTTTGAAGCCACCGGTCGGCCATATTGGCACTCCCCAGTAGAAGCATTCCTCCATATGAATGAATGGAATTCTACAGTATTTCAATTAAATGTTGCAAGGACAAAATAACATGTATTTATTTGTTGTAGTGTGGACAAAATTAGTAATCTAAGAAAATTATACTTTAAGAAAAATGTTTACATTTTTATACTTTTAATTTTTATGTTTAGCTCACATAATATAATTTAAAAGTATGCATTAAGGTGTCTGTAATGGAATAAATGTAGCAAAAACAAATGTAGACATTAACAAATGCATTCTATAGCTTCCATAGCTTTTTTACAATTGTGGGGGACTGCCAAGATGGAGGCACTGTGGCTTCAACACAGTGCCCCCTATCAGTGATCTAGTAGATATATAAATCACTGGTTCAGGAATATTCTATGGTCTTAAATTGTGTGCTCTCCTGCCTCCCATTCCGACTACAGATAACTTTCTACGAGGACAACAACTTCCAGGGGCGCTCTTATGAGTGCGATGCGGACTGCGCTGACATGCACCCCCATTTCAGCCGCTGTAACTCCATCAAGGTAGATAGCGGCTGTTGGGTGCTGTACGAGCGTCCCAACTACACAGGCTATCAGTACGTGCTGACCAGGGGAGAGTACCCAGAGTACAAGCACTGGATGGGATACAATGACAGCATCCGCTCCTGCCGTACCTTCTCCTATGTGAGCAACCTAATTGTCTTTGAGGCCTTGCCGTGTTACCTGGATACCCTGCCAGGCTGCTACTCTATTCAGTAATACTTCGGACATCAATCAAACGATGACAATGTTTTGAACATAGAATATTTTACCTATGGAGTGAATGGGTTTACCTTCTGATTGATGTTCTAGGATAGGTGGGCATGTTGTGTCACTAGTTACATTATGTGTGGTTATGAATGTTCAAATCCCTTCTGAGGGCAGGTTGATAATGCAACAAATGTGGGTTTCTTCTTTACAAAAAAACAGCAAAGTCCTAGGTTCTGTGATGAGAACCTGATTGAGTGGGTGAATCTCCTTGGTAGGACATGACGGTTATTATAGTGAATGACATGGAGCAACACAGTATCACAATACAGCAATAATCTAGAATGCCCTGAACACCCTGATTCCTATCTCCCTTCCTGCAGACTAGCGGAGGCCCATACCGCATGCGCATCTATGAACGCCCCAACTTCCAGGGCCAGACGATGGAGTTCGCTGAGGACTGTGAGTCTGTCCAGGAACGCTTCCGCAGCCGTGACGTCTACTCCTGTAACGTCCTGGAGGGCTACTGGACCCTCTACGAACACCCCAACTACCGCGGCCGCCAGTACTTCATGAGGCCTGGAGAGTACAGGAAGTTTAGTGACTGGGGAGCCACCTGCGCCACCACTGGCTCCTTCCGTAGGATCACCGAATTTTAGATAAGAACACCTTCTCTGCCTCCCTAAACGCAGCTTGTCTCTAGTTGGCACTGGCTTGTCAATAGAAGAGTATGGCTATTCTAACACACAGGACTGTGTCGAAATATTTCATGAATTTGAAATAGATCATTATTAAGTTACAAAGGTAACTCTGAATGACTCTGAATAAATGAATCTATTGTGAATGTTTCTTGTCATAATTCTTTTGAATAGGCTAGCTAAACAATTTGGGTAAAGTCGAAACCAATTTACTGCCACACATACTGTAAATGCAGTTTGGTGATAAACCAGTTGGAAGGGAACCAGTTTGTTATGGACCCGGTTGATATGGAAATAGTGTACTTACAATGTTGGGGGAGTGCGAAGATGGAAGCGCTGTGGCTTCAACACAGCGCCTCCTATCAGTGATCTAGTGTATATATAAATCATTTGTTCAGGAGTATACTATGGTCTTAAGTTGTGCGCTCTCTCAGATCAAAGTAAGAGGAAAAATATGATTTGCTAATGGCATATACAGTATATGGAAATCTGACATGTACAATAGAGTACAGCTTATACAAACATATCCCATCCCATCCCATTCTGATATCAAGTCTGCTTACTCCTCTGAAGACAGTGACACAACACTCTTCTGCACAACTTTAGAGAGAAGGGTGGATGGACGGATGGTGGGCGGGGTCTGGGTGCTATTGGCTGCCTCTCTCCTATAGATGAGTTCACCCAGGGTTCTATGCCATAGATAGGACCACACATGTAAAGCTCAAAAGTGCCACATAGGGTGACACAGGATCACACTGTAAAAACATACCACGTTGGCAAAGCTCCCAATCAGAAAAATGGGCCACACACAAAGCATGACATTTCATCCTACTATGTATATATAACACATAACATCGCAACACATGTTTGGTAACTTCCTGTAAAGAGAACTATATACTCATCATATACAGTAAATGGCTTTCAGATCTATCAATCAACATACCAACCCAACTAAACATGTACAATCACGGATCAAATTGTTTTATAAGATGACTATACAACTTTAGATGGCTATGAAGTATTTTGACTATACCAACAAAGTATAGCTATATTACATAAAAAACTTAGTCCATCAACCTTAAGTGATTGACATGCATACATTTGTGATGATTTGAGTACACAATATCAAATTCAATATGACAGCAAATTACTTCATTTAATTCAATTGCTTGCTAACATTGGTCTGGTTTAGCAATTGTGGCATCAGACCATTGATCTTTCCAGTGCCTGCCTGTCAATGATGTGTGTGGCTTTTTCTGGACGCTAGGATGTGAACACATCCATCACCATGATTGGATATGACAACAAGAGTAGCAAAACTCCTGTATGTCGTGTTTGTGCTGACATGCTGCCATGACTGATTTGAATAACAACACCTTTGCTACCTTTCCCCCTACGGGAATGTATATAAAGATAAGCCACCTCATTGGCCAACAGCACAGCAAGCAGAACGAGCAGCTCACCAACCAGCCGCAAATATGATGGGAAAGGTTAGTGTTTTAGGCCATTTTACATTTACAGAAACTAAATATACAAACACATTGTATATTTAAACATACAACCACATATAAGTTGTTATTTAGAGTAATTTAATCATACAGTATATCTGTTGGCTGCCTAATATCACATCTTTACTTTGTTGTTTTTCCATTGATTTTCTTATTAATGCTACTTGAAAATGATTCCTGTTCTTCCATCAGATAATCTTCTACGAGGACAAGAACTTCGGTGGCCGTCACCATGAGTGCATGAGTGACTGCGCTGATCTTCACTCCATGTTCAACCGCTGCCAATCCATCAGGGTGGTGAGCGGTATGTTCATGATCTACGAGCGCCCCAACTTCATGGGACACCAGCACTTTCTGAGGAAGGGAGAGTACTCCGACTACATGCGCATGCTGGGAATGAATGACTGTGTCAAGTCCTGCCGCATGATCCCCATGGTACTGTCCAAGATTATTCTAAAGGATATTGATATCCTCATATTATTTCTCAAACACATATGATCTACTTACTGTATCATTGTTTATTTGAGATTACTTACACATAATCTAGATTTTGATCATAGTATATCACCAAGCCATCTATGAGGGGTGTATCATGTTATCCTTAGTGGATAATCATCAATATCAAACAATTACATAATCAATCTTCAATTCCTTAAATCGTTAAGATTTACATTTTGCATCTTACTAGCCTTTCTGTGAGCATCTAAATAGTCATTTTTGTATTGACGATTCATAAAGCTTGTTAACAATGAAGAAAAGTTATATATAGAACACAGATTATCATGGAATATAACCTGTTCTCTTTTCTGTCCCCTCCAGCACCGTGGTAACTTCAGGATGAGGCTGTACGACCGTTCTGACATGGGAGGCCAGATGATGGAGCTGGATGATGACTGCCCCAACTGCATGGACCGTTTCCGTATGTCCGACTTCAACTCCTGCAACGTGATGGACGGCCACTGGCTAATGTACGACCAGGCCAACTATAGAGGACGCCACTACTACCTGAGGCCCGGCCAGTACCATAGATACAGCGACTGGGGAGGCATGAGCTCCAAGATTGGCTCCATCAGGCGCATTATGGACCTCTAAGGAAGGAAGGGTCCTTGTAAAATGTTTACTTTATGCCTTGTTTCACACACTGAATAAAATGGTGTCAGTGCTCAAGTGTTTTCAGTTTTGTTCTTGCTCTCTGAGCATTGCAGGCCTGCTCTCCAGTGTGGATGTTAGCAGCAGGGGTGGCACCACGATGCCCGACATCCTCGCTCTGCTTAGAGGGTTCAATAAAGCAATTGCAGTATTGGCATTGATCAGACAGGAGTCAAGGCGTGATCTCTATTATACAGTATTGGATCATTCATGCTCTACCCTCATGTAATTGACTGTTTAGTGTTAACCAAACAAACAAGTTCCAAAGTTCAAAGCGGTCTAAAAGCCAGTGATTTATAAGAAAATGATACTCTGAGATGGCTTAAAAACACAAAAGCCATTCAAGTGAAAAGTTTATCCTCCTTTATGGAATTAACATACTTTACCCCATATTGTGCATCTATGGCTGCTGCACAGAGTAACACATCCACAATAAATGCATTCATAAAGCACTTTCTAATGTAACAAGGTACTATGTGGCTATCTCTTCTAGGCCTCAAAGGCATCAGGACCTCCCTGCTTCCACTGGAGGCCAAGGGTGTAGATATGTGAAGCCTATAGAGCTAAATATCTGAAGGGCCAGAACTATCTTGTCTATGCATAAACTATCATAGTTAGTCAATTTTGTATGCTCATATGTCTGATTACATACTAACTAGTAGCGAGAAGTGTTCTAATGCTATTGGAGAACATGTTCTGTTTGGAGAATAGTAAATATAAGAACAATTTCTTACAAATAACTGAATCGAACAAAGAAATCAGAGGTTTGTATAGATATTTAGGATAGGGTGAAGGGTTTGATTGTAAGCATACTATCCTATATAACTGAAACAATAATTCAAATACTTTTCAAGTAATATACAAATGTCACTCACATTAAGTTTAACATTTTGAGAGATGCATTTGTAAACATACATCACACTTGTATTTCAATTCCACCATCACTCTTTAGTCTTAATATTTAATATTTAATGAATAAAATATTAAATAATAACATTTAATTTAAGAAAATACAACATTAATTCATATATTTTAAGTGCCAAGCTACATAGACAGGCAATTTGGGATTTCTGTAACTGCTTTTGAAATAGGATATCCCACTGTAGTCCTATTTCTATACTGAGGGTTGCAAAATAATAGTACAGATAATAACATACTTATTACAAATCTAAACAAAAAACATAATTTTAGATAACCTATACTGAAAAAAAACCTATACTGTCATATACTTTATACTGAAAAAAACCTAAACTGTCCTATACTATATACTGAAAAAAAAAACTGTGTGATAGATTCCCCCCATCCCAAATAGTTCAGTTCAACCCAATCATGAAAGTATAGTTATGTAGAGGAGACATTGGAAAGAACATCACATTTCAATTAGAAGAGAAGCGGAATCATAAAAAAGGTGAAAAAGACAAAACAGGCCAAATCTTTCCTTGTGTGAATCCTACTTATTATATTACTGGCTCATTATATCATGGTAAGATGTATGGGATATTCACTATAGGATGAACCTTTCTAGTCTATCATTAAAATATTTTACTATGGGTTTACTTAGTGTAATGGTTGTGATTACAGAATGTGAACATGTAGAATGTAGAATCCATGAAATATAATTATTTCACAAAAATACATTAAATAACATAATATATTTAATAGAGAAATCTATATTTCATAAAGAGTGAATAACTTCAAATAATTATAACTAATGACACATAAATAATTGGCTGGCACAGATCTAAAAGAAAGAAACCAAACCAACCAATGGATACCTTGTCATTCATGGTCATGTTTGAGTACATACAAAATAAAGCTACATGATCTCCTGGTCATAGCCAAATGTCACCATAACCTGTCCATTTGGGAACAAAGTGTTCCCAACATTTTCTCCTCCCCTTTGACCTCTTCAGGACCACACAATGACACTAAGTGCAAAAGACCACTGGGTATTACAATATGAATGGCACATGCGGAGTCTGCAATTCACGTTCACTATATATGTGACAGGTGGAGTCTTCAAAGGGCTGGGCAGACCACACCGACAAGGCACAACCAGCCCAGCTACCATGGGGAAGGTAAGCCTTCAAAACAGCTATGTACACCAAGTCAACATAGACTAGGATAGTAAAAAGGGTGTTGATGGCAATATCAATTTCAGGCATTCCCATTGAATTCATGTGGGTGTTTTTGTGTTCTGGTATTCTTGTACCACCATTTATTAGAATTGAAAGGTTGAATCTTATCCTTGATCATCTATTCTTTGTATCAATCCTTGATTAATGTTCTGTCTTTATGAATATTAACAACATGATATCAATTTTATGCCTAGATCATCTTCTACGAAGACAAGAACTATGGTGGCTGTCACTTTGAGTGCAGTGGTGACTGCACAGACATGCTTGGCCTTCTCAGCCGGTGTAACTCCATCAAGGTGACATGTGGATGCTTCATGATCTTTGAGAAGCCCAACTACACCGGCCACCAGTACTACCTGTGTCGAGGAGAGTATCCTGACTACCATCGTTGGATGGGCATCAATGACAACATCAACTCGTGCCACATCATCTCCTTGGTGAGCTCTCTGTTTGTATGACTGCCCTTATGAAAATTAAGTTAATAAATGTGTATTTATCAACAGTTTATCAAAAGTTCATAAATGTATATTGCACCAGTTAACTTTTTCCTGAACTAAAAGCAAAACATTTATTTGTATTATATGTTTATTTCACATTCATATAGTACAAATAGTACATTCACTATAAAAGTATGTTCAGATAAAAGTATAGTGTACTCTGTATATATTTCACTCTCAAAAAGTAAACTTGGAGCATTCTAATTTGGGGCGGAAATTATGCAAATTATAACGTGTGTGGAATTCTGGGTAAACATGCTCCTGAGAGATCATTGCTAAATTGTCTTGTGATTAAATGTCACTTATTACACTTGTAACAAGTTGGTGTAGGTGTGTGTGTGCAGGGGTGGGGGTGTGTAACCATAATGATTTGTAATGCTCCTCTGATTATCACATAAAGATAGAAGTTCTAAGATTGCACAATTATAATAGTTTTTTCACCTTCTCAAATCAATAACAGGTGCCTGGATCCTACAACATACGTCTCTTTGAGAGAATAGAGTATGGTGGGCAGATAATGGATCTGGTGGACGACTGTCCCAGCGTCATGGATCGTTTCCACATCAATGACATTTTCTCTTGCAATGTGAAAGGAGGAAACTGGCTGTTCTACGAGCACCCAAACTACAGGGGAAGGATGTACCTTATAAAGCCTGGGCATTACAGGAGATTCAGCGAATGGGGCGGCAGGAGTGCCAGAGTGGGTTCCATTCGACGAATCATGGACTACTAAACATACCCTCCTCTCAATTCATTGGACGTTGTGGCTACCTCCTCAGCGGATAGCTAGGAATCATGGTGCGACAATAACTCTTTGAATATCAATATTCAACCCAACATCAACCCGATATCAAGCCATCTTGCTATCATTTGAGTTATACAATCACTGAAGTCAAGAGATCGTATACCCCACCGTCACTGGACATTAATGGATAATCTAATTTCCTGTTCTTGGGATAAAATGCAAACATAAAAGTATAGAGAAGGTGAAAATGAAATCAGAGAAGATGTCGAACAAACCTCAACGACATGATGGGATATAAGTTGTTCCAAGGAGAGACAACTGATAACAAAGCCTATGGGCAAAAATGATACTTTGGAATATCTTCAGACAAAAACAAAGAGGACCAATGCAATGCAATCTTCACCATTTTAAATTGCCTGTATTTTTATGGCATGTTCAGCTGATCAGATTCAAAAAAATATTTTCACTTTGATGTAATATTGACAATTGTATCTGATGGACCAATACTTATCAATGATGATCACTGACTATATCATTTGATCACATTCAGTCTGCAAATGGTAGCAAGTCTCTGGCTCTGTTCTTGACCAATGACTCAATGCTACAATAAACAAATGGAAACATGGAACTAGGATATTCTAGTAATTAACTATTCAATAATCCCACCACAATTACCAGATGGCATATCACACAATTAAAATGTCTTCCAGATATGGGTTTATTATAGAGATGCATATTCTGATCTCTCTATTGATTGGCTATTTATCTTATTGGTATATTTGTCAGGGACCATGCACAACAAATGTTTCACCAGATTTGAGCTACCTAGTTTATTTTCATCTGCAGTCCCTATGCGTTGTAACCTTGACTTTATGAAACAGTGACTTATAAAGCAAAGGTGTCCATGGATGGCTTCTCAATATCGAGGACAGGTAAGACCATGTTGGTAAAGGTAGATCTATGTCTTGTGTGGGCCATGTTCATCGCTCTGATTAGATGCAGTATATAATACATATGCTACTTTAAATTGATAATTACCATGTATTTATTCTACAAAGATTGAATTAGATGAATAAACTAGGCTAAGTGGATTCTCATTTCATGGCCTGTGTATTGGCTGTCTAACATGTAGCTGGCTACCACTGTATAATTCATATGGTGGTGATAGGTTTTGCTGATGCTGTGCAGTGTACTGTATCAGTCTGGTATACTGCAGTGTTTTCTGAGAATTGTGATGAACATGGGGGATAGAACAATAACTGGTTACGCATGGCCACCTATACATAAACAGATTTCTTTCACCCACCCTCACCATTGAAACATCATCACTATGACTAAGGGATATATTTGAATGACAATACTTTGTGCTGTGCAATCACACAGCTGCCCTGTTTGTGTTTTTTTAAATAAAAGACAGTGCTGGACTGAGGGACATTGAGCATTGAGCCGTCACCCCCATCCACCGCCAACATGACTATGGGAAAGGTAAGAAAGAAGGCCATGGTATTACAACTTTCCAGATTTGTATGCATTAAAACGAAACAATTTTACAGTAATATTTTATAGTATTTAATAAATGTTACATGCACAGTTTCTACAAATACATAAAATAATGCAACTAGTTTAGCAGACATATCTCATGCAGTTTAGCAACAGTAATCCTGTAGTTCTAGGGATAATGATATTCTGTGATGTTGTGGTTGGTTGCAGATCATCTTTTACGAAGACAGGAACTTCCAGGGTCGCTCTCATGAGTGCAGCAGCGACTGTGCCGACCTGCACTCCTACTTCAACCGCTGCAACTCCATCAAGGTTGAGAGTGGATGCTTCATGGTCTACGAGCGCCCCAACTACATGGGAAACCAGTACTTCGTGAGGAGGGGCGAGTACCCCGATAACCAGCAAATGATTGGCATCAACGACTGCATCAGGTCCTGCCGTATGATCCCCATGGTGAGTGAGGTTCAAAATACAAGTAATGCAAATGCAAGTACTACAAATACAAGTAACACGAATACAAGTAACACAAGTACAAGTAATACAAATAAAAGTAATACAAATACAAGTACTACAAATACAATTAACATAAATACAAGTACTACATATACAAGTAACACAAATACAAGTAAAACAAATACAAGTAATACATGTAATACATCTAGGGCCAACATGTTGTAAAGTGGTTTGAAGGAAAGTAACAGTTTATCAATGAATTATGCAAATATATGGCATACATTTAGTTTTATAGTACAGCCAAAGTCATAACCAGATCCATTTCAATTCTGCAATTATATTACATGTATTTTATTGATTAATTATGAGAGAGTGGTGGTGCATAAATAAGCTACCTACATATAACATGAAGCTGCCATCAGATTAATCAGTCACAAATTTGTTGAATATAACATACATCTAAATCACAACTAAAGCCTTTAGCAACATTTATCTCTAAAATCACCATTATATTTAATGAAATGTAAGAAATATATAAATTACACTGCATTTGAGTATACAGTAACCATGTAAAAACGATGTAACTATGTAATAACTATGCAGTAACTATGTAATAACTATACAGTTACTGTCTAATAACTATGCAACACCTGTTTGATCCATTTACAGCACCGTGGCCAGTACAGAATGAGAATGTACGATCGTCCTGACATGGGAGGCCAGATGAACGAGCTAAGCGACGACTGCCCCAACATCCAGGACCGTTTCCGTATGTCTGACATCAACTCCTGCAACGTTATGGATGGCCACTGGCTGATGTACGACCAGCCCAACTACAAGGGCAGGCAGTACTATGTGAAGCCCGGCGAGTACAGGAGGTTCAGCGACTGGGGAGGCTTGAGCCCCAAGATCGGCTCCCTCAGAAGGATCACCGACTTCAACTAAACTAGAGCTCCATTTTGAACTATCAACTGTCACTGTCCGCAATAAACTTTGATTCGTAATAAAAAAAAACTCTGTTTTATGTCTTTTACCTCTCTTTGAGAAGGCCATTGGTATCTTCTCAGAACTCAACCCCGTTGCTAGAAACCCTCACTGATAACTCATACAAAGTTTGGTGATTTCAATAAACCTCATTATGCAGTCCAAATGCGTTTCTTGATAGAGCATTTGAGATATATTATTTATTGTTCTACAGTAGGCTCTATATATCTAAATCCCACACAAATCAGTACAGCACCACAACCATGTACGTTCCTTGTTACATATAAAAACACCTAATCATTACTAGAATATTTTTTTGTTCTGGTAACTCATGTCAAAAAGTAGAGATTTATCACTAAACCCCACATTATAAGTGGGAAAATACATTTATTGGCAAAATAATGTAGGTCTAGCTACAGCTATCGCTCTTGTACTTTGGCCTAGTGTGTTTTGGTCTGTTAAACAGACAAAGCATGAATCCACTCTCTCCCTGTTTGGTGCCCCATAAGGGATTAGCCAGCTGTACATGTATTGTGGCTGAATTGATCCACACCATGATCCTAAAAGAAGTAGACTGTATACAATAGTGCTGACTGGAGAACGTAGTGAATTTGAGGCATCCCATCAATAATGATGAGTCACATTGGCCTCCTGGAATTGGAACTTTAATTGTGCCTAAATCATATACAATTATTATTATGTATCATAAAAATGTATTGATAAACCATAATTCAGATACCTGTTAATCACTTCCTTTGCTTTCTCTGTACCTGCTATAGTTAAAAGATAAGAATCCGATTTTTATAAGGTAGTTTTGATCTTATTTATTCCTTTGATCTTATGTATATGGCATATTTAATTATATATGAATGCAGCTTGTTTACAAGAATGCTCCTATCAAATAATAGAAATATAAAAATATATAACATAATCGATAATATAGATATAACAAAACCAAGGAAAGGAAAATAATATAAGGAAACTAGATCATTCTCTGGTTAGATGCTGAGTTTAATGAGCTATGTACTATAACCAACAATATTTCTAAAAGACAATTATTTTTATTTCAATATTTCTAAGGGCAATATTTCTTAAACTGCATTTTGTCTTGGTATAGCGACTACATAGTGTGCGTTAAACGTCTTGAGAATTCTTTAACATACCAATAAACCTAACTGACTCTCTGCTCCACTTACCACAGTCTTCGTAGTGGTACCACATATTGTCACAGCTTGACACACTTTACTCCCCCCAACATAAAGTAATCTTGTGTTTGACAGCCAAGTAATAAAGCAATAAGATGTGGAGTAAGATAAGACAGATTCAGATAACAGATAACATTCACAATGTTCATGTAAAAGTTCCAAAAGTAAAGTAAAGTAATGGATAAGACATGTATAGGTCACATGATCATTTATGTTCAACAGGCACCACGAATGTCCTGGGATCCTTCATGAAGTGAGATGGAAAAGTTTCCTACTTCTTTGTTCAGTGCATGAACCCAGTCTCTGAATGATACAGCAGTTCTGCATGGGCACATGAACTAACTATAGACGACAACAAAGCATGGCCAATAACTAGACACTCTTCTAGTCTCTGGGGCTTGTGAGGTACAACTGGACCCTACCTAGTGGGCAAAACAGGTTGAAATGACATTACAACTAGATTACAACTAGTCCAATGGCTGCATTTCAACCAGCTTTGACCACTGGGTTTACACTAAAGCCAGACATTTTTTATATCCTATTGTCACATCCCCATTCACATTACAAGACAGTTCTTATACAAAGTTGTGAAATACGAGGCTCTAACATTCACAGATTTCATGGTAGAACCTTCAGGCCTTTCATGGAACAACCATGAGTATTTAGGGACAATTAAATGTTTTGATCTGGATGTCACAAGTACTGTTTGTGATTCAAGTGTTTCTTAAACGTATTATGGGGTAAATGTGGCTTTTCAGTTAGCTTTCTATCAGCCTGCCAAAATAATAAGTAGTTTTGTACATGGCCTGTCATAAAAAACCAAACGATATTATATCAACCTTCGCTTCATTACTTGGCTGTTATTGACATAGGCCTACAGCATAGCCAACTACCATTGACTAGAGACCTATGTAATGTTCATGAAATTACATTTAGCTTTCCAGCACAGTGTCATTGTTTACTTTCATGCTACAATTGAAACACAGAGGTGATTGGTATTTCTAGGGATAAAGGAATGACACAAACAAATGGCTTGTTTACTGCATAAAAGCAAGCTGCAATTAGTCAAGGATGGTCATGGGAAGAGCGTAGCTAAGCAGGGCCAGTAAGGAAGAGGTTTTGGACTGTCCTTGGCAGTGGATATGGTAAGTTATGCTATGGTTTGAGAAGAATTGCTAGAATGTGGGAAAAATTAGTTAAATCTCACTTTTGAATTGTTTTAACTACAGGGAGGAGAGGTGTACTAGTAATGGTAAAGGTGGTGGTAGTGGTTGGTAATAATGTAGTTATAGTAATATTCTGTTTCTAATCATGTTGGTGTTGTGATTCATGTACAGTAAGTAACCCATGACACATTGAATATTCACACATCATGTACTGTAAATAGTCCATGTGTTACACGCAGGATGCAATCTTTCTAAATGTACTAATTTGCATAAAATGGGTTGCAAATGCAGATGAGAAGAGAGAGTGAATGGCTACCTCTAGTGTTGCGCAACATATTTAATGCTAAAGGGCTGTTCCATATTGTTCTGTACCTATTGTCCATTGGACGTGTGGATACCATACTAGTCTTTTCCTTTGTCTATGCATGTCAAAACACCAAACCAGTAATTATTTATCCTTTTTTTCCCCAAATACAAATCCATATTTCTCACC